CCCACCTCAACACAATAAAAGTCCCAGAGAGTGGAAGACTAGAGGGAACCCACCTCAACACAATAAAAGTCCCAGAGAGTGGAAGACTAGAGGGAGCCCACCTCAACACAATAAAAGCTGTATATGAAAAGCCCACAGTCAACATCATGGTAAACGGAGAAAAGCTTGAAGCAATCCTGCTGAGTCAGGAATGAGTCGAGGCTATACACTATTCTCACTTCTTTGCAATATTGTGCTTGAAGTACTAGCTGGAAAAATAAGTCAAGAGAAAGAAATTAAAGGAATGCAAATAGAGAGAGAAGTCAACTGTTCATATTTAAAGATGACATGATATTTTACATTAGCGATCCTAAAAATTCTACCTGAAAATTTCTACAAATGATAAACCCAGCAGTGTGGCAGGACACAAATCAATAGCTTGTATATACACCAACAACAAACACACAGAGTAGAGACCATGGACATGCTCCTGTTCACATCATCCTCAAAGAAAATAAAACAGAGAAGAATAACTTAACCAAGGAAGTGGAGGGGGGATTACCATTCCACATCGTTTTTCCTTTTAAGATTTATTGATTTATCTTATGTATATGAGTACTCTATCTGCAAATACAGCTAGTGTGCCAGAAGAGAGCATGGGATCTCATTACAGAGGGTTGTGAGCCACCATACGATTGCGGAAAACTGAACTCATGACCTCTGGAAGGACAGTCAATGCTCTTAACCACTGAATCATCTCATCTCTCGAGTCCTACCTTTCTAGATCTTAAGATATATTACAGACTCATAGTAAGAGAAACAATATGGTAGGCACAAAAACAAACATGTAGACCAATGACACAAAACTGAAGACCCGAACGTGAGCACACATGAATTCAGCCTTTTAATATTTGACAAAGATGCCAAAAATACACCAAAGAAAAGAAAGTATCTTCAACAAATATTGTTGTGAAAACTGGGTGTCCATATGCAGAAGAATGAAATTAGCCCTCTATCTATCACCTTGCACAAAAACTGACTCCAAATAGGTCAGAAGTCTAAACCTGAAACACCACAACTTCCAGAAGAAAACACAGACAGCACTTTACTCGCTAACAGGCGTAGGAAAGGACTTTTTGTCTGTCTGTCTGTTTTGGTTTTGAGACAGGATTTCTCTTTGTAGCCTTGGCTATCCTGGAACTCCCTCTGTAGACCAGGCTGGCCTCAAACTCACAGAGATCCACTTGCCTCTGCCTCCCGAGTGCTGGGATTAAAGGCCTGCGCCACCACTGCCTGTCTTGGAAAGGACTTACTGAATAGGACTCCATATGCCCAAGAATTAAGAACAGCAGTTTTGTCACGAAACTAAAAAGCTTCTGCACAGCTAAAGAAATAATCGACCTGGTGGAAAGTGAGGCCACAGGATGGGAGAGAATCTTTGTCAGCTAAACACTGGATTAAAAAACCAGAAAATAAGAAGAACTCAACAAAGAGTCAAAAACAAGCAAACAAATGACCCATTCCAAAAGTGGGTCTGGGCCCTGAACAACGAGTTCTCAAAAGAATAATAAAATGGATAAGAAATGTCTATGGCATTATTCATTATCTGTAGCAATTAGAGAAATTTAGATCAAAGCAACTTTGATATTTCAAAACAGCTGGCAGCAAATGCTGGAGGGGGTTGGGGGAAGGGGACCCCTCATTCACTGTTCGGATTCCACACTGGGGCAGCCACTGTGGAAATCAGTTTGGAGAATCCTCACAAAGTTAAATATGATTCGACTGTATGGTCTAGCTTCTCAC